TGAGCCGCCATAGGTCACTACTCTTCTTGTGCTTCATGAACCCCTCTAAGGCATCTTGAATTTGGTCTACAGACACCATTGGGTCTGCCATGAGGCGCAACTTGGTGACCTTTTTGGTCCTCTCCAGTTCCAAAACATCCTTCCTCACTTGGAAGGCAGCTGCAAGCCTAGCCATAGAGAGTGAACACTCTAAGCCTTTGGTCACTGTGATCACTTTTCCTCAAGGCCAAAACTGCAAGGTCACAAACATATCAGCCTTGAGACCCCAAATGATTCCTGTGGTTTGTAAGATACACAAGAGAGACAAAGTCTCAAGTACAGTACAGGAAACTGTTCACAAGTAAGGTCACAAAGACTCAAATAGAAAGGAAACTGTTCACAAGTAAGGCCACAAACACTCAAATAGAAGGAAACTGTTCACAAGTAAGGCCACAAAGTCTCAAATAAAGAGGACAAAGTTCACAAGTAAGCCTCAAATAAGTTCAGACAGTCTGGCAAGCAGATCTCATAAGTAGCTATTTCATTCCTTGCAAAACTTACAATTGAAACTTCTCAAGTAAGCACAGGCCCTCAAAGTACAGGAACTTTACAGGGTGTCCTCAGTCAGAACTGCCAAACATGACCACCAAAAAACATATAGATTCCAAATGTTTTACATGTAATAAACTAAACCACCAACAAAACATCAAAGCCAACATTTCAAAAATGTTATCAAAAATCATCCTTGAAAATACTCTCCAAAATTTACTTTGCATACTAAACAAATTTACTTTGTATACTAAAATTTACTTTGTATACTAAAACAAATTTACTTTGATTACTAAAAAAAAATTTACTTTACTATTTACTAAGAAATTTACGTAAATGTTCCTTAGTAAAAACCAAAATTTACGTAAAATCAATGTCTACTAAATTTACTACAAAAGGAGACTCAGGGTGATGTGGCTTTCGCGTTCTGGGGTCGGTCGAAGGCGCACTTCGTTGGGAAGGAAAGTTTCGAGCCCCCCCAAAAACTTTGCAGTTGAATGGAAAGGCTTGTCTTTGTCAGGGTCGAAGAGCCAACCCATGACTGAAACTAACTTATCGAAATAGAGTCCTCCAGAGGCCTTGGCAAACACTGGTTCGGTGATCTTGAAATCATCAAAAAAATTAATGACTGGGATGGCAAGCCATCTGCGAGCCACGGCGACTATCAAAGCAGGGAACCTATTAAACTGCAGCACTGCGGCCAAAAGGCCAAAGGCCAAACCATGGAGAATTCCAAAAACCCATGTGCCCTGGGTTGGGTGCCACACTGCAACCACACTGAAACGAAGGTGAGCTTCAGACACAGGCACTTGGCGGTAAGCCCGTTTCATGTCCTTGGTCGCTGCTTGCAGGGCCAAGTCATCAGCTAGCGGGCTTCCAAGCAAAGCACGAAACCGTTGGGCGATGGCCACACCCATATCTATGGATGTGGTGTGGATGCGCTCTTCCACACCTGTGCAGAGGTTATGCTCACTGGTTTTGGCATTGTCAATACATCGGTATGCATTGTGGTTTGCTTGCCAGGCTGCAAAGCGCACCATTGGGCGCCACTGGTGGGCACCAAACTGGTTGTGCAGGTCGGAGGCGGAGAACCAGCCTTCGAGGATGCCAAGCTGTCTTTCTGCCTCGGATTTGTCCCACACCACTTGTGCCTCTGGTGGTGGCGGGGCAGGCATGGTGAGGACTTGTTGTAGCCACTCATGGTTGCGCTGACTGTCAAAGCAAGAGCTGCTAGAAGCGTCAGCATGCGCAGTTCGGTAGATGCCGAATGTGGGTAAGTCACCTACAATGCGCACACCCTGACATAACGCAAAGGCAACATCATGATCAGGCCAACAAACGCTGTGGCCGAGTGCCTCTATGTGCGCAAGGTTCAAGTGTGCACTGACTCTCTGAGAAGATGCAGATCGGTGGGCTTCGAAAAACCGAACAAGGGGCTCCAGCTGGCGAAGTTGATTGCACAACGTTCGCCACTGCTGTTGTCTCCAAGCACGAATCCCTGTTCCTTCAGCCACCACAACTCGAATGGCAAAGTCTAAGTCGTCGGCCACTGTCAGTGGCTGAGCCAGCGGTGAGCTCAAAGCTTCAGCTAACAATACATGCGTTGTGGGCGGCAGTCCAAATGGCAGCAACCGACGTGCACTCACGGCAAACCCGTCTCGTTTGGTTTGGCTGAAATTTGCCGCGCACGCATGCTGGTCTGGCCAGTCTGGCCCGAGGTCAACGGTGGCCAACCCACGACTGCGCCTATCGATCAGGTAAGGACAACGACTACGTAAGTGATGTAAGACTTGTGCGCAAGCCGGGCCCACTTGCAGGGCGGGTTTTGGCAGACAGGTAGGCAACGTTGCTCCGCGGCCAGAGTGCGACGCCGTATTGGTCAAAAACGGCAAAATGGCTGTGACACCGCACGGAGGCCAGGAGCGGGACAAAGCTGCCGCTCTGCGTCGTTCGACTTCCTCCCGATTTTCGGCGAATCTAGCTTGGAGCAAGGGGGCCGTATGGCCAGCTTGGTAACCCAACATCAACTCAAGCTCTTGCGCAATGGGGCCGCGCTTGCGGCCTGTGGTCAAGCAAGTGAGAGAGTCAGGCGACCAGAGTGCACCCCAGGGCCAGCATCGCGCTTGCCCAAGGTTTGTCACAGTCCATCCAGGACACAAACAGCCTGTGGCAGACACTGTTGTCGGTGGTCCACAGGTGTGAGAAGCTTCAGAATTGAAACACCAAAAACGATGGGGAGACATCGGAGGCATGGGAGGTAACTCGCACGAAAGCACATGTGGCAAATGCTCCCTCAAAGTGCAAGCTTGGGCCTGCGACAGCTGGCCTATCAGGAAATTTACTGGCAGGTCCGTTTGCAGGGCTGCACTGACAACCTGGACGACTTTGGCCAACTGAGCATTCTTTACTTCACTTGCAGCAAAAACAAACACTCCGGTCGCTTGTGTATGTTGGCGCAAAGCATCCGAAATCATGGCAGTCGTGAGGCTGCTCATGCTTGGGAGTGGAATTGCACAGGGGAAATTTGTGGTGGCAATCAAACTGTCATCGGAATTTGTGGAAACAAAGTACACGGCTAGCAAGGACAAGTCCGGAGCATCCTCTACCGCCGCTGTCACAGGCAAAATGCCGCCCGACAGTTCGAATAGGACAATGCGTGTCATTTGGCTCCGATGCGGATGGTTTTCGACCACACCCGTGGAGCAAGCGGGCACAGTCAACCTACCTAGTCAAGACTTCATAAAGGGGGCAACGGCCCCGTGCCTGGTGGGGTCGTGTTCTGTGCGAGTGTGCGAAGCAGACGCGCACACAGCACCTGTCTGCAACAGTACATCACAAACGTGCGCCTTGCCCTTTGGACATTTGCGGGCGGGGCATCCTCTGGCATCGTTCCATCGTTTGTAGATTTCAATGCCCGACGGCAGCTTTGTGGCTGTGGCTGGCTTGACCTTCAGCGCCGTGGAGGCTGGGGCAGGCGCATCGTGTTTGGGCAAATGCTTGTGCGAAGAGGAGACCCCACTGGAGGAAAGAGAGTCTTTTGCGTCTATCCACACTTCAGATTCTTCTTTCCAGGCATGGAGCAAAGCGCGGCCCCACGGCATGCTGTCACTGCGACACCGTTCGATTGCAGTGGCCCGCACCTTCTCCTCAGTGTCCACTATATAACGCAACACCGATTCTTCAGGGTACCTATCAGCAGCAGCCCAAGCTTTGGCCTCGAAATTGCTAACGTAAGTGCACGCATCTTGCCAGTGGCAGAATTTGACAAGCTTTCCCTCAAATGTGACGTCGAAGCAGCCAGCAACGGCCCAACCTGTGGCCAAAGTGCGAAAGCATGAGAAGTATGTGCGCAGCTTACCAGAGTCTTCAAGGTAAGCTGCCTCTTCATCAGGCTGGGCAATGTTGAGTTGCACAGCTTCTGTCACTCGATGCCTTTTGGTGGGCGGAGCCCTTTGGGAACAGGCAAGGCTTCTAGTGCGCAAAACCGCAAACATGGAAGGCTGGCCGACCTCAAATTCGCGGACGATGCGGCCCAAGAGGGTATCGCTGACCATGTCTCGAGGCTTCAGCGTCCATTGATAGAAATTCTGGAAGATGTCACACTTGGACTTGCGCGTCGCTGAGTCCAGCGCTTCATCCAACAAATCTTCAGCAAGCCCTTGGCCGAGCCGCTTCAGCTTGGTTTGGTTGATGCTTTCGGCTTCTTTCCAAGCTTGTTTCAGGCGGGCCAACTGGCCCAGATTGTCCTTCTGGCTGGTGTGCTGCAATATGGAATTTTTGAGCTGGCTGGCCTCATCTACAATGTTGGCAAACAGTTTGATATCGGTACAGTCTTGTGGAGAGTTGGCCAGCCAGGCCAACACGTCCGCATGTACACCGTTTTTGGTGAGCAGCAGTTTCAAGTCTTCTTTCATTGAGGCCATGCTAAACACGGACTCTATCAAACCCTGAGAAGCACCTGGAATTGAGCCCAATAGGTGGAGGCGCAGCATCACATCTTCGTGACGGCCAGGCGCAAGACTTAGGGTGACTCATCCCCAGGTGAGTTGCACACATTTGCGTGTGACTGTGTGACTATTATTGCCTTGGCATGTTTTTTTGAAAGAAGTGGTTGGAGGGGAAAACAATAAACAATCGCGATGCTGTTTGGGTTGCCACCTGTCTACGAGGAAAGCAGGACTCAAAAAAAAAATACACCGCCGTAGACCCCAAACAGGTTGGACAACAAAGAAGCAGTCCCAAGTCCTTATCTTAAGAAAGAATTGAGAACCCCAAACAGTAAACTGCTTGATGAAAAAAAGATTAACAGGGCGCCACAATGGCATGCCCCAGCTTCAAGAAGGCCACTGTGGCCCAAAGAACAGAAGTGCACAGTGCGCGTTTCCGCAGTGGAGTGTATAAGGCTGTGTTCGGGAGGGCTTATATGTGCCGTTTCTTAGGGTTGGGTGAACAAAGCCTTCACAATGAAATGGCTGCGGAAACAATGTCTGAAAATACTCCAATAATTATGTGTCTGAACCCTGGCCACTAACCAGCCATTCAGAAACCAATCATTATGGTTGTACGTTTCAGATCGTTTCTGAGACTTCCACTCTCAAAACAGCAGGCGCACTCTTTTTCGATGGTGCGGTAATCGGTGAAGCATTATGCATTTGGTTCCACTCCAGCTCCCATTGACCTGGCGCCATCGATCTAGAGAGTGTCTGTGTCACGGCTGGCGGGGCATCATGCCCTGCCATTTGGTTTGGAGGGAAGAAGGGAGTAGAGAGAAGCAGCGAGGTGACCAAGGTTTGCCTGTGTCACACGCATCCTGGAGGCCAGTGCCAATGTCTGGATCTTTCAGACCTCGGTTGCAGGCCGTGTGCCAGCGCTTTGTCTGCAAACGGACTTGCTTGCACAGGTGCATTCTGCCCTTTACTCAACAACCACTGCACCTCTGGACAGGTGTCTTCTTGAGTAGAGTCGCTGGACGACTCAGCACTCGAATCTGACGAGGACGACGAACTGTCAGCGTCAAAGGCAGAAGTTGCAACAACGCGGTTCTCCGAACCACGACAATCTGCTTCACGTACATACATTGCAGCAGAACCGTTTTGCAGAAGAGAAGCGGCCAGTTTTCGGGATACATCTCTAGGGGGGAACCTTTCACTGAGTTTATCCCACGACAAGCGAGTGCGAACCCCAGTCTGTACAAGATGCCGCATCAAACAAACAAGTTCGGTCTTGACGCACAAGCTGGTGTGCAATTTCTGGTCCGCGTAGCGCAAGGGCATGCTCAAATCAAGGGATTTCCCTTGCTTTTTCCAATCGCCAACTAGCAGCAGCTCGTGCGGATCGAAGCGAGCGAGTTCAGCAATGGTCGGCAGGACACGACGAGCAGAGTAGGACGTGAACTCAACTGCCTGCAACTCAGACAAACCGAAGGGCGCTTGTTGGAACATATGTTGGCTTAGCCGTACAAACCGTCCTATGGACATTTGCTTGGAAGAAAAACCCGTTGCAGAATCCAAAGAACATCTCACAGGAAGGAAATCTGGTAGGAAAAAACCCTGTTGGGGGTGTTCACCAAAGGCTCTGGCCAAAAAGGTATGAATGGCCGCCCCCAAGTCAATGCCAGTGATCCCCCACCGGGGCGATCTCCAGTCGAACGGGCGTCGCCTGCCATTGGTACGACGTTTACCCAAGCTTGCGCGAGCAGCAACACCATTGTCCAGAATTCGTACTATGGTCGATCTCTGCAAATGCGCAAACCGCAGCACACCAAGTGACAACACAATCCAGGTGAGTGCCAGAGCTGCCACAGCATGGTTTCTGCTAGGCACTAGTGACTCCAGTGCCAGCAGGATTTGTAGCGACAAGGGCGTCGCTTGTTCTTCTTCATGCGTGCTGGGTATGGCAGATTGGCCGCGCACGCGGTCCGAAGAGCTGTGAAACACAATGCCAATTTTCCCTTCGAGCCACTTCAACATGTGGAAAGCACCATTCGGGGCCGTAGGCCCACGTTCCCGAAGGGATCGCAGCCATAATGCCACATGTATGCTTGAGGCTTGCCATGGATGGATATGGGTGTCCTGGCAGTGGCGGCGCCACCGATCAACCACACGGAGCGCGGACTGTAGCGATGTAACAGAAACTAGGCAAAGCTCGTCGAAAAACATTGAGGCAAAATGTTCCCTATCACAACTCGACAGCTTTGAATATTCTTGCCAAAGAGTGCCTTGTTCACCAACTTCCAAAAACAATTTCCAGAGCTCCGTGCAGGACTGTTCCACAATTTGTCTCTCTCGCAGCTGGAGGTTCTGCAGGTGCTGTGAGGCCTCTGTTGGCTGCAGCTGACGCAGCCGACGCTTCTTGTGTGGAGTACAGCCCGTCGAGGGCTTGAGGGCCGAAGTTGGGGCGGAGCGGCTGGGTGCAAAGAAAGACCGCGTGCTCACAGGTAAACACGAAGAGTCTTCTGTGTGACGAACCACGGCCTGCCGCAAGGCGAGGGCACAGGCGCCCTGAGCAGCCGACCAAAAAGACGCCAACTCGGCTTTTGTCGCTGCAGTTGCAGTGCACCCAGAAAGATATTCCTCAGCAGTGTCCCAAACATTTGTTTCAAGCACAGATGTGATGCCGCTCTGTTGCACGTATCGCTGAGATTCAGCCCCCAACGCACCAAACAGCCCTTGCAATCGAGGAGTAAACATGGAACATGCTATCGACCATGGATAATGCCCATTGGTCACCGACCGGAAGATGGCATCCACAGAGGCCGGTGAACAAAGCCTTCACAATGAAATGGCTGCGGAAACAATGTCTGAAAATACTCCAATAATTATGTGTCTGAACCCTGGCCACTAACCAGCCATTCAGAAACCAATCAACAGTCAAACAACTACATCAGAAATCCGACAGAATGTAAAGCTACTTGTCATCCAAATGGACAACAAT